TCTATCTATCATCTATCATCTATCTATCTAATCTAATCTAATCTAATCTAATCTATCTATCTATCATCGTGGTACCAAACCATAAAATTACAATGGAGCTGAAAAATTTCTAGTGATGTTGCAGCACAGTGCATTACTCAAGTGCTTGTGGTATAAACAAACTTATTGCTTTGCCATTCATGTAAAAGTACAGTATAGTACATACAATTACAGTAGTGGGCAATATCATCTAGGTTTATGTAAGTAAACTTTATGATCATAGTTTCCACAATGACAAAAGCACCTAACTATATTTCTCAGAATGTATTCCTGTCATTAAGCAGCACAGCACATTACACCACACATACATCACATCACATCACAGGTGGTTCATCCATTCATCTGTCAGTGGGCACTTAGTTGTTTTCATGTCTTGGCGATTGTGAATAATGCTGCAGTGAATATGAGAGTACAAAAGTACCTCTTCAAGAAAGTGATTTCATTTCTTCTATATATACATCCAGAAGTGTCATTGCTAGATCATTTGGTAGTTCTGGTTTTAATATTTTGTGGAATCTTCATACTGTTTTCTATAATAGCAGCTACAATTTACATTCCTGCTAACAATGCACAAGGATTCTCCTTTCTCTACATCCTTGCCAACATGTTATCTCTTGTCTTTTTGATGATAGCCATTGTAACAGGTATGATGTGCTCTCTCATTGTGATTTTTATTGGCAGTTCACTGATCATTAGTGATGTTCAGCACTTTTTCATGTACATGTTGGACATTTGTATGTGTTCTTTGGAAAAGTGTTCAGTGCCCTTTCCCATTTTTTTAAGTGGCTTGTTTTTGGGTTTGGGGATTTTTTTTTTTTCTATTAAAGTTTTACAAATTCTTTATATGTTTTGTATATTAACCCCTTATCATACATGATTTGCAAATATTTTCTCTCATTCAGTAGGTTGCTTTTTCATTTTGTTGATGGTTTTCTTTGATATGCAAAAGCTTTTAAATTTGATGGTGCCTCACTTTATTTTTGCTTTTGACACCTTTGCTTTTGGTATCAAATCTAAAAAGTCATTGTCAAGACTATTCAAGAAACTTACCTCTTATGTTTTCTGTAGGAGTTTTGCAGTTTTTATGTACTTTGAACCTACTGTCTGCTTTGTATTCTTGTCTGCCAAGTCCAACAGTTGTGTCTGCCAGAGTCAGTTACTATTGACTTCTTTAAAGAAATAAAACAAAACAACCTGCTTATAGGTCTTTTCCTGTTGTTTGCATGTCTCACCATTCTTTTTTTTTTTTTTTTTTTTTTT